TTGTTTTTTTTTTTTTTTTTTTTTTGGTTGTGTGTGTGTGTTATTCCTTTGTTTTCGGAACTCCATAGTTGGGGCTTTTTTATCTTGTAATTTATATTTCGTGGCTTGTTTTGCCTATGTTTTTTGCATCACCTTTTTGTAATCTTTAATTCTTCTTTAGGAGTGTTTTTTTTAAGTAAAAGATGTTGCTGTTCATAATTGCTTGGAATTTTCAATGATTGTGTCATGGATCCATTATGCGTCAATTTCAAGCTTCTAGGTTGCAACTTGCTAGTCAGTGTCATAATTGAGATTTGGGATGACTCCATTTATATATTGTTTTAATTTCATGTGTTTGATTTTTCTACATGACAATGATGAGATATTGTTTTGTTTCGGGTAAATTTGATGGAACCTGATTTATTCATTATTTGTTTTATTAATTGAATAGATTCGTCCGCTGTGGAGGCATTACTTCCAAAACACACAGGGTCTTATATTTGTTGTGGATAGTAATGACAGGGATCGTGTTGTTGAAGCAAGAGATGAGTTGCACAGAATGTTGAATGAGGTGTGGCCCTGTTCTATTTTTTTTTCCCACACGATTGAACTCGCTTTCTGTTTTAGAATAAGAGTAGTAGACTGAATGTATTTGCTATAATATCATAGGTTGCTTCCTGTTGTTTGTGAAGATAAATTTCTGTGTACTGATGTAATATTATTATTATTATTATTTTGTTGGAGTTCAAGGAGTAGGGGGATGTGAACCTCTAACCTTTTAGTTTAAGATATATGTTTTAACTAGTTGAGATATGTTCAAGTTGGCAATATTAATTATATTTATTGTTACTTTTTATCTTTCTCACGTCAGGTGCTAATGATGGGATAATTTAGAAATTACTGATCTGCTTGTTTCTTCTTTTGGTCTTAATATATACCAAATGGAAACTGGGTGATGCTGTATCTGTTATCTTTTGTTTTTCTCTACATATCCCCCTGCCACCCGATCGTTTATTTTTTCAGTTTTAGCCTCTTATTGATGTAGAATTCTCTTTCGTTGTTGTAATATTTAAAGCATTCTCTTATCACCCTCCCCCAAAGAAATGGAACATTTCTGTTTTTAGCTTTATACATAATTTGTGGGCATCTGCCAAACTTGAAGAAAATATACGCTGAGTTCCCAACTAATCTGATTTCAGGATGAACTGAGAGATGCTGTGTTGCTCGTATTTGCCAACAAGCAAGATCTTCCTAATGCGATGAATGCTGCAGAAATTACCGACAAGCTTGGTCTTCATTCACTTCGTCAACGACACTGGTAAAATACTTTTACCATTGTTTGTTTCTTTATTTATTATTTCTTCTGAAGCTTTGTTTTATTTCTGCATATGATTTTTTTTATTCAATTATGTGTTTCACTGGCTCAATTTTTTAAGTATTCCAGAACCTATTACCTGTGCTTAATGTTGTGCATAGATATGATTAAAGAGACTGATCGGGGATGCTGCAATTTTGTTTTCTAACCAAAGCCAATGTGACTCAGTATCATCTGTTCACTAGTTTGCTCCATGTTTTGAAATTTGGCTTGTCTGCTCCTACTCCGAGCAGCATTATCACTTTACTTTCTTTTTAGAGAACATCTGTTTAAAGATGGAACTAGATTCTTTGACCAAACTTGATATGAGCTTTTCATTTGGCTTTTTTGGAATGTAAGAAGTAAGGGCGGAGAGAGCTTGCATGGATGAAGCTCTCCTTCCTTTTCATTCTTCTTTTTAGGTTCATCTAGAATTTCATCAGCTTTTATATACACTTGTATTCTAGTTCGTTTCTCACAATGTTTCATGTGTGATTAGGTTAGGAAAGATATACATTAACTCCACAAATCCTCCAACCTCATAAGCATCCTCAGTTTTAGAATATAAAGTCCAATTGCTAGCAACTTTTGTCTCGATTACTTTCAACTTTGAACTACCCACTCTTTCTAAATATTGTCTAGAAGACAGCTCCCTTTTTGGATGTGGGAAACTGAACTGGTAGGCGAGTGTGTGTGTGTTGCCCATAGTTTATACTTTCATTTTCTTTATGGAAGTATGGTCTTTTGAAAAATTTGTCCACAGTGTTGACTTAGGAACTTTCTACCTCAGAAGTTGCTAAATGTGCATGGATGTGCCATCAAAATTCTACTTTTGAGTGTACTTTTGATGAGAGTATTTTAAGGGAGAAGGATAGTACTATAGAAATGGGTAGAGAAGTTTCCATATCAACCTATTTAAACTGCATTTTACGAAAGTATGACAATTTCTCAACTGAAAATGAAGTGATTGAAGAGTACACTCAAAAGAAGTGGTTTGAGCATCTGTGCTAATATGTAAATTGACACTTCATTTCAGGTACATCCAGAGCACGTGTGCGACATCTGGAGAGGGTCTGTACGAGGGTTTAGACTGGCTTTCCAACAATATTGCTAGCAAGGTAACCACAAAAGTCTGTTGACATGATCTGAAATCTCATTTTTCAACATTTTAGTTTAAATTTTTTCTTCATGTTTGAATAGTGGAAACTGCGTATTTACTTTGAAAATCACAAAAAACATTTCCACTTGGCCGGATGAATTTGAGACTAATCCGAAAAA